AAAATATCACTGCTGACTTTTCAAAACCTGAGATAAGGACTAACTCCTTTTATAAAAGTGGTCAGTCCATTAATTAGAAGTTAATATAGAATTTTGAAGTCAATTCTCATGCTTTTTTACAACAATGAATGTATCTCAAATGAATCCTATTTGTAAATCCCTGGAAATAAAACAGTCACTTTTGTGTAGTCCCCAGCACCAAGCAGACAATACTTTAAACAGACATTTCAGACCTATCCTTTGATGGTAAATACATCATAAACATTAGAAAATTATTAGTATTATTAACAATAGCTAAGGGTTTACTATATGCCCAGCACACCCATAAATCCTGTACTTGGTTTATCATTTATTCCTTATGATTATTTCATGCATGGTAGATAAGGTTATTTATTTTCATTATATAGATGTGGAAACTGGTCAAGTAGTTTTCCCAGGTCCCCCAGACTGTAAGAGGCATGGCTGGGTTATAAACTTTGGCACTCTGGATCTATACTCTTAACTATCTTCTATAAAGTAGCCCATGCTGGAAATGAATGAGTAGTACAAAAATCAAGTGTTAGAAGAGCCTCTGACAGGTGGGTTGCTTGAGTCCAGGAGATCAAGCAAGAGGGAGATCTGGACTCTACTAAAAATAGAAAAACTAGCCTGGTGAGGCTGAGGAAAGAGAATCACTTGAGCCCAGGAGTTTGAGGTTGCTGTGAGCTGCTGTGATGTCTCACTCTATCCAAGGTGACAGAGTGAGACTCTGTCTCAAAAAAAAAAAAAAAAAAAAAAAAAAAAAGCCTCTGAGGTGCTTTCCCTGAGGAACAAGGCAGTCAGAGATGCCTTTGAACTCACAGGCTCTGAAGACGGGAGAACACAGAGCATGCATCAGGTTACTCTAGGCTGGGAGAGATTTGCAAGCAAATGCACAGAAGGAAATAATATTCAGTCAGACAACCCAGGATAGACTAGGATTTCTGAAGGAAAAAAGAGACCAACCCCATGACTCTGCCAGCCTCTCTTACCTCCCAAAGGGAACTTTTCTGATCAGTTGCCACAAGCTCTGCAAAGATCTGACTTTTGCTTTCATTCATCTGCTTTCTGAAGTGATACTATGTGGCTTGAGATAACGCCACAAGACCCTTTGTCCAAAATTAGCAGTGTCTCCCCATCCTCCCTTACTGGAGATGTACTATTGCCACATTTCAGTTCAAATGCATTTGATTCTCACCTCCATGGAATCATCTGGTAGGATCAGGAAAGCATGTGAGTGCACATAGGGATAGGAAAAGGGATACTCGCAGGGAAATTTGAGCATCAGACCTAGTTTCTTTCTTTCTTTAGCAAGGAAAAAAAACTGACATTCTGGTATTAAGGATATGACACAGCACACCACACTATTAAGGATGGATGTTAATGGGGAGACCTTTAAAAACATTCACTCCTTCATCTAAAGGTGTGGGGAAAAACCTGAGGAGCCCCACATAGCAGGAAGCATGGTATAGGGGAAAGGAACCTTGCAGATGCCCCACTTCCCATAATTGCTCACCATATCCCACCTATTGTATTTTACAAGGCTTCCCTACATCTTTTGTACTGCCTCGGCCCCTCTCTTAGCAGGAGAATGGAAGAACCACGTACAGCGGGGAAGTCAGGTTTGTGAATTTTAGGCCACTAAAGCCTCATGAAAAACTCTACTTAAGTGTGTACAAGACATGAAACCAAGACAATAATGGCATTTGAAACATGCCTCCTTATTTTTGACCATGCCCTCTCTTGCTCAACCCATAATAAACCCTGTGTGATCTTGTACAGGGTTGGTCATGTCTTAAACTCCTGATCACAGTGGAACAAGCAATGAACCTCAAGTCTCTTTCCAGGCCTAAAACTCTAGGATCAGCCAAAGTTCACCCCTTTATCCTCACAATGTGTACTGGGTACCAGAATATTCTGAGACTCTCTCACCCCTAGAAGCTTATAACCAAGTTGGGAAATGAAGCCCATTCATTCTACAGGGATTGACTGAATAGCTACTAGTGGTGTCAGATCTGTGTGTGACATAGTGCTTGATGCTGGGTGGGGCAGAGTGGATACAGGAGTCCTTTCTTTATGAATTTTACAACTTCGTGAAAAGACAGTGAAACATGAGAATCACAGCGAAACCTGATGAATGCTATGAGAGTACAGAACATGTCAATCAGTCAAATTGAGGGGGTAGAAATCCTATGGGGTACTTGTTAGAGATAAAGATTCCTGGGCCCTATCCAAACCTTGGGAATCAAAATCTTCACAAAAATGCCCCTTACATTTTTCTAACTAGTGATTTTCATCAGTCAACTTTGGAAAACGTGGTGATTCAACGCGAGCAGGACACTAGGGGAACTCATACCCAAATGAAATGATCAGTAATAGGATAATCTCTAAGATGAAGTCATACACAACAGTGGTTCAGAGTGCAAGCTGCTGAACTTCACCTCTCAGCTTCACCACCAAGAACGGAGATGGTAATAATGCTAGGATTGCTCTGAGGATTAGGCGAGTTAATCTTTGCAATATTAATACGTAGAAAGTAGCACAATTAGAGAACAAGAAGCAAAATCATAAAAGCTTCATAATGACACATGAGGCTTCCACATGTGTCTCCCAGCTGGGAGAACGTAATAAATAAATAATTAATAATAATTGCCAAAATAATAAATAATAATTGTCAAAAGAAAAAAAGTAGTTCTGTTTCTTCCATAAAAGGCACAATACAGTGGGATAAGGAAAAATCAGATCACGCTATAATCAAAAGGGAATTCTTTCATATAAGAAATCATACTTAAGTTGATACTAAAGGCCAGATATGATTTAAAGAAGGAAGGAGAATGAAAAGAAGAACCCAGAGAAAACTAAAGAACTAAAGACACAGGGCTGTTCATGTGAGACCAGGGATAATACAAATGTGTATCCCTAGTTTTGTCACTAATTAAGTAGGCATTCTTTATTAAGTTAGTTAATTCTTATGGGCCTAAATTTGTTTCTCTGTGAAATGTGGTTTTGCAGATTGTGTTCTAGTTATTCTGTTTGGATCACCTTCAGTCTCTTAAGGATTCTAAAGGGCACTGCTATATATATTTGACCCACTAGATGGCAATATATGGCTTTGTAACTGAATGTCTTTTTCAACGGCTCTTACAGTATCTAATAATCAAACGAGAGCATTTCTTAAAGGTTCTCCAGAAAACAGATGGGTAGATATTAACTAATTCCTCATACTGAGGTCCTTATGGATATTTATAAAATAAAGAGAAAGCAGATGTTTGAATCCCTTTGATTTAGACACACAGACGTTAAAAGATCTTTGTGAGGACCCTCTGGTTTAACCCATTATTGCCAGAAAGAGTTATTTCTTAACAAAAAAGTAAACAGAATGATCTACATGGGGACCGTCTCTGAACTGAATCAATACAACACCCCAAAGACCCTCACCCTCAGTCGAATGTACCAAGTCAAATATTCTTAAACATTTTCATCATAAACAGCCTACCTATCCCACAATAATCCTCCGTTTTAAATATCAGAATATGTAAGGCACCAAATGATAACTATACTGTGTTTCAATAAATGTTATAGTATGTTATTAAAAGAATTTCAAAATCTTAGGCAAATGGCTGAGAAGCGATGAAACGATCTCAAAATCAATCCTGTTATTGCAGACCTCTATGGCAATGAATTATCTTACTTTAAGTGACTTTGGCATCCAGATTAAGTAGAATGATTTTGAAGTATTTCTTTTTCTATTGTCTATAAGATTTGGCATGAGCTGTTTGTTTGAAATTATCTTTTACTTTTATTTATAAATATTAGTTGTCTATTTTTTTGAGACTTTGACAAAACAAAATAAGAAGAAGAAGTTAACTGATCAAAGTATTCTATAACAGACATACTCCTATCTGACAATGTGAATGTTATTTTCTTTGCATTACTACTATTATTATTGCTTAATATTTCATTGCAGCAATCGTCTGACTTCTTTTCTGAATGTATTTATCTTCATTCGTTCTTTATGAGGTTTTTGTTCTCAGTCCTTAGGTTACACATTGGTATTGTCATTAAATTTAGCCTTTTTAATTCTGTGAAGGCAAAAGTGGAAACCTAATATACACATGTATAATAAACAAATTAAAAAAATGACTTTGGCAACAGAAACAGTATATTCATGAAAGAAGTCTTTGAAAATAGTTTTTTATTCTGCTTATAGTCATCTAATAAATATTCTAATTCCTTTTCTATTATCACATACTGTACTAGAAAAGAAGCTGTATTTTTGCTGCATAGGGAAACTCATACTCATTGGAAAAAATTGCCTTTGAGATATATCACGTAACATAACAGCAGTTACGCTCATCTACAAAAGACAATTTCCACTACAGTTCTAAGATCATAAACCATACTTATTACCAGTTTTCCTTCTAACAGCAGCAGAAAAAGCCATTTCTCTATGAAATCCAATGTCAATCTTAGCTACGCAACAACATCGAGAGCTATAGGCGTATCAATATCCACCGCCAGCCCGCAACCCTGATGCCGCGTGCACCATCACGGCCTCTGCTTTGTTATCCATAACTCATGGGCCCCACAGCAAGATGAGCTATTCCCTAAAAGCAGTGACTTCAGGCTGGGCACAGTGGCTCACGCCTGTAATCCCAGCACTCTGGGAGGCCAAGGTAGGCAGATTGCTTTTCTCCAAAATGGCCACAAAGAGACTATTCTACTGGAAGAAACCACTGTGTGTCCATCAGCAATACTGACTTACCGAAGGCAAGGGCAGGAAAAAAAAAGTTCTACTTCTAACTAGTTAAACAAAAATTCTATGAGTTTCATGCCATGAGCTGGGTCTTAAGTATCAGTTTTAAAATATGCAAATCAATAGAATTTATAATTTCTCCTTTACTAAGAGAGTTAAACCAAATTAATGCTCTGTCAAAGAAACCTCATTCCCTGAAGTAGGTTAAGAACAAAGGCAGACTCACAGTTGGCGATGTCCCCTTGAAGCTGCAAAATCTGAGGAACTGGCATTGTGAGGACAACAAGATCAAACTGCTCTGGGGAGCCCACTTCTCTGGAGACTTCCCACTTGTCACTGCTCAGGTTGATCTGGGTCACACACTGTCTGAAGCAGACTTCTGCACCTGCTCCGAGAGTAAAATCATGTTCCCATTACTAGGATTTTCTATGTGAATAGCCCAAACAGGATTCAGTCAAGTGAACATGACCATCAACCTTGTCTTTCAACAGTCCCCAGCTTCTCTTTCTTTGCTTAATTTCAAATTAGTAGGAATTCATCTTTCTCTGGCACCCTGGGCCCTCCCTACCAATGCCTGCTCTGGAGAAAAAAATACTATTGCAATTAATAATAACAACAACCACCATAGCTACCTTTTATTAAGCAGCTACTATATGATGACCACTTGCTATACATTATACCAATTTATTTCACAGATAAGAAAACAGATTGAGCAATGTCAAGCCATTATTAAATTATATCCATCTGATAGTAAAGTTCATTATCTTTGCAGAGGAAGTATACAATTCAGTAAAGGTGTTTGCAACTAATTCTTCTAGTAATAGCTAGAAGAGCAATATCCCCTACCAAAGGAATTAATATTCTTTATTAAAGAACTTTAAAGAGGAAGGAAGGGAGGGAGGAAGGGAGAGAGGGAGGGAGGGAGAAAGGGAGGGAGGAAGGAAGGATTTGAATTTGATTCTGTAACTCTGATTCATTTTATAATTAAGGAACAAAGGAAGGAAGGATTTGAGTTGGATTCTGTAACACTAATTTATTTTATAATTTAGGAAGGAAGGAAGGAAGGAAGGAAGGATTTGAGTTGGATTCTGTAACACTAATTTATTTAATAATTTATGAAGGAAGGAAGGAGGGAAATAAGGAAGGAAGGAATGGATTTGAGTTGGATTCTGTAACATTAATATATTTTATAATTTAGGAAGGGAGAAAGGAAGGAAGGATTTGAGTTGGATTCTGTAACACTAATTTATTTAATAATTTAGGAAGGAAGGAAGGAAAGGGGGAAAGAAGGAAGGAAGGAAGGGACTTGAGTTGGATTCTGTAACACTAATTTATTTTACAATTAAGAAAGGAAAGAAGGATTTGCGTTGGATTCTGTAACACTAATTTATTTTATAATTAAGGGAGGAAGGAAAAAAGGAGGGAAGGAGGGAGAGGGAAGGAGGAAAGGGAAGAAGGAGGGAAGAAAGGCAGGTAGGCTGGAGAGAAAACTTGGCTCCTACTATTTCTCTGGTGACACACACGTGCCCTATCTCATTTTTACATCTCATTTTGAGCCCTATCTCATTGCGTCACCTAATCAGTGCCTACATTCCTATTTTTCTAATTTACTTCCCCACCTGTGGTTTGAAACCACATTTCACATCCTACATCCCATAATCCATATTCCTGCCAACACATATTTAGACTCGCTACTAAAATTTTCACAAATCTGTAAATACTACAGGTAAATTAAAAATGCACTCAAACGGGGGCCTTGATGCCACGTTCAGAAGGAAAATCTGGGCTGAAAATAAAAAAAAAAATAAAAAAACAAAAATAAATAAATAAATAAAGAACTTTAAAGAGATTTCTGTAAGAGAAATACAAATTCTCATCAATCATCTCAAGAAGAGTAAAAATTTAGAGCAATGTCATCTAGGGTACCCTCCTATCACATTTTCCTTCTTGGCACTTAACACGAGGGTATTTTCATAATGATTTGCCTAATTATTTGTTTGATATTGTTCTCTCTTTTCATCTGTAAGCACCACAAGCCACCAATGATGCCTGTTTTGTTTCTATGTATACTATAGAGCATACATGGCACAGAACTTGCCACATACAAGGTATTTAATAAAGATTTGTTTAAAAGAATGAATTATGAATCATAAATTGAAAGATAAGCATGTATAGTGGGTCAGTAAGCCTCTTTTGTACACTAGTACTTGCTTTACATTGCAGCTTTTGGAAAATTTGTATTTAAAAACAAATCCAATGTTACTCAGCCTCATGTAACAAAGAGAAATGAAGCTAGAATGAGAAAAAATAAACGCATACTGAAAGATTCTATTCATCCTTAACCTGGAAAATCTCATGTTCCCAGTCACTAAAAATCTAGCAAAGTTTCAAACTCATCAGGCTTCCTGTCCAGGCTTCCTGTCTGTAGCCCCTTCAGCTGAATGTGATCCTCCCTGTCTACAACGTCCTTCAGCCACCACCACTTTACCACTCATTTTGACATTGGTTCAAAATGCCTGCATGCTTTAGTTATGTCCTACCTATCCAATAACACTCTAGACTCTTCCGGTCAGGTCTTTAGATCTCTTATACCTTTAATTCTTTCATTTTATTCCCTTGAATATTCCTGTACCATAGTAAGCATTAATTTTTTTAAATGCAAATAATAGAAGGAGCATGGTGGTAACTAGGCCAAAAGATAATGTATTTGAGCCAGTGAGCAATAGTTTGTTCAAAAGTTAAAGCAAGGGCTTGTATGACTTGCCCGAGGCTTTTCTCTGGCCCCTGCTTGGGGAAGGTGCAAGTATCCGTACTTTTAACACTCTTTCACCATCTCCATCACTTCAACCAGATACTTCTGCTTCACCTTGTCTTATTTGTTTAGGGTGACTCACCCCATTTGCCTTATTTGCTCCATGGCCCTGAACTGGACCTCAACAAAGTCAACCAATTCTATATACAGCATGGCCATAAAGTTTGTGTGCAATTTTATGGCCACCCTGTATTTTATTTGTTTATGTTTTCATGTATTATTTATTTGAAAAAAAGCAATTATGTTGTTCTTACAAGTGATATGTGAATATGTTTAAGGAAAGTGAAGTCCACTGGCCTAGAAAATTCTCTATGCCCTAACTGGAATTGTATCTGAATGGTCACAAGGTGTTCTGCAGAGTAGGTGCCAGTGGTTCTCTAAGTGTGGACCCCCAACCAGCAGCACCAGCAGCACCTAGGAACCATGAAGGCTTAATAAAGACCATATATTTATAATCATTAGTTTGTTAGTTACAAAGTAAAGCTAATATGCTACAAAGAATAAACTAAATTTTTAAGAGCTCTCTTAAGAGTTTTCTCTGAACTTAAAAGCTTACTAATGTGAAAGATTGAGGTGTCTCTGAAATTATAAGCTAGAAATGCAAATTATTAGGCCCCAACCATACCAAATCAGAAACTTTAGGAACTGGGCCCAGCAATCTGCATTTAACAAGCCCTCTAAACTTAAGTGTGAGAGCCACTGGGGTAAACAGGCCTAAAATAGACCCAAAAATGCCCTTATAGTTGATTTACATATTATAATGATGTTTTTCCTGCCTTTTTCCTGTATTTTTCAAGTTTTCTATAAAGAGTATATAATTCTTTATGAAAAAGTTACTTTTTGAACTAAATAATGGTAACATTTTACATAATGATAAGAAAATCTACAGAATTCATTATTTCAAGAGGCTTTACAAGTTAAAAATATAAATAGGTTTTTACTAAGAATTGGTTAAATTAGAACTGATAATCATCTAATATATATAAACTATATATAGAGGGTGCCAAAGAATATATACATGCTTAAAGAAAGGAAAAAACTGTATTGAAATTGTGGTACTTAAGTCGCATTTGATTTCTACAATTACAAGAGATACAAGACACAACATCTGTACACAAGATAGCAAGTGTTACTGGTATAAAATGGGTATTAAAAATTTAATATAGTTTTTTTCCTTTTTTAAAACACATATATATGTTTTTGGCACTTTCTACTTATAAACTATTTATATACATTAGAAATTCATATCACTATACCTACTATGCACAAGGTACTATGAGGTTCTATGTGAGCTGCAAAGTATTGAAAATGATCTCTTCTCCAAAAAACTTCCAAAGCAAAATTGGAAGATAAAACATATTATTCCCCCAAATACCTACAAAATAAGGAGATAGACGCAAAATATTTAAGAACATCAGTTCTGCAAAGTCAAGGACTTTGGTTCTGTATCATTGGTACCTACAATAGTGTCCAGCATATAAGCATTCAAAAAATGTTTATTGAATAAAAGGATAAACGTAGGTGTGTATGTATGCATATGTAGATGTGACAGGAATATATCCCATTTTTACCCTCTACATGTTCCCTGGAAATCAACTGACAAAAGGCAAATTAAGACTTTCAAGTTTCTTTGATCACAGTTTTATGTGATACAAGAGCTTTCAGAATAAAGAGCCCAAGATATAGGGGTAACTGTCTATTCCTATGCTTAGGTTCAACAAAGTATGGACAGCTATGTAGAAATATGATTTGCCAAAAAAGGGTATGAGCTAATGTTAATTGACTGAATGGGGAAACCTAGCAGGTAGGTCAGATAATTTCTTTATGACCAGTTTTTACAAGGAAAAGTAGGAGTTAAAGTAATATTTTTAGGTTTTATGGCTGGCTCTGGGGAAAAGGGGTTCTGGTTTCTATTACCTGCCTTGGGGAAAAAGGGTTCTAGTTTCTATGGCTAGCTTCTAGGGGGAATGAGAGGTCAGAGACAGGACAGGGGAAAGTCAGAGAGAGCTGTTTCTGAGGCCTTCGTTTTGGAGTTTCTAAGCCCCTGTATATGCACACATGGATATATAATACAGTTAGTAAGTACTTGAGGATTTCAGTAAGTATCACATATAACTTGGGTCAAGGTAAAATCATAATGGAAATGAAATTTTTTAAAGTTATTGGGAGGCACTATATGAAGCTAATGAAGCATGTAGCTCAATAGATAAGAAGCATAAACATTTTTCTGGAAGCATACTGGAAAATGTTATTGATTACCTTGGGGAAAGAAAGACTAGCTGTTGAGGGGTAAATAGGACATCTACTTTTTACAACTTTCTGTATAGTATTACATTTAATTATGCACATAATTAAATGCTAATTTCAAAAGAGGGCATAGAAAATCTTAGTCCTACCTGACTGTTTCAAGTAATGCTCAGTAATTGAAGAAACTCCTTGAGGTGCTACGAAGTTACAGTCTCCTTCTCTCATCACCATTCCCTCAATAGGAGAGGTGAGAGGTTTCAAAACGCCGTGAGCGAACAGTTCATCATAAAAACTTAAAACAAATCAATATATATACAATGTAAGTATGTACTATGACTAGCTCTGAAATAGTATATTCCATTCCACAAATTCTTAGACCTCATCATTCTAAAGCATAACTAGAAATCTTCATATGATCAACACAATATAAATTTTATGTTAAATAAAATTTATAATTCAGATGAAAAACAGAAACGTTTTGAGAATCCACTCAGAAACGTTTTGCGATGTTTTGCTAAGATTAGCCAAAGGCCTATTTCTACACAAGTATATTTCAAAATTAAGATGGATAAAAACAAACAGAAATGTATTTAGCACATCAATTTTAAACGTGGTGAAGAAAACTGACTCCTATAGCAGTTATTTATTTTCTTTCTTCCTCAACATCAACATAGAAATTGATATAAATATACTGAGACCTTACTATGTTCCATATGTCATCTGATCTAGTCCGCTTAACAGCCTCACGAGGTAGGTGTCATAGTTTCCTACTTAAACTAATCTTTCCCCACTAATATCATCAATATGAATAATATCATAATAACTTCATTGTGCTACAGAAGACAAAGTTTAACCACATTAAATATTGATGATTCCCTATCTTTTTTCAACATATATCTACTAAGATAAATTCCATACCTTGCAACTAACTCACCTCTGGTGTTTTTTGGCATACTGGGGAGTGCAAGTGATGTACTGAGCACCCAAGTCAGCTGTGCACTGTGAATTGTGAGGACTGCGGGCTGTGGTCATTCTTCCCCCTTGAATTAATGAATCCACAGAGAAATGTCAACGCTCTAGAATAAACCTCTGCAGTTAATACAATTCAGGTTAACTTAAAATACATTACTTTTAAAATATACTGGAAAATATGTTTTAAATCGAAGTCTTTATCATCTAACACTGTCACAGGTAATCAACAGACCCAAATTGGTCACTGACTGTGACATTTAAGAAAAAAAAGTCATGAATAACTATCGTCACTATCCAGCATGGTTACTAGTGTGTATCTTTAGTAAAAGAAATGATGAATGGAATGTCAGAATGAATGAAACAACTGAGGCTCTTTCATTCAGGCAGTCAAGTTTCATCAGAATGACAGGGCTGTGTAAACTAAATCTTTGGACAGTCTTGGTCTAGGGGCATTTTTGAATTGCCATAATTTAGAGAACGCTGTAGAGGCACAGTCAGACCGCGACAAAAGTCCATTTATTAGGGACCGGGTAGGCCGAAACACCGCTATCCAGGGTCGGGCCGCACCCAGGCTGCTGGCTTGGGCCTCCCCCTTGCAGCCCCGCGCAGCCCGGCCGCCGCCCCCACCCTCACCCTTTTCCGGGCTGGTCCCGACCGCGGAAGTCCCCGGTGACGCGACGAGGCGCGCAGTGCGCATGAGCCGCCGAGGCTCTGGACTTTTCTCCTGCGACTTAGTAGCGCGCGGCCCGCGCCACCTGTCAAGGCGCTGCCGGCGGTTAGATAACCTACCTGCGTCCGCAGCCTTGTCCCACACCGTGAGGTACAAGGGGCCGGCCGTCTCCCTCCTCAGCAGCGCGGCGCACAGGCTTCCCGTCAGCCCGGCGCCCACGATCAGCACCCGCGCCATGGCGGGCGGGAGCCGCGAGGAGCAGCACGGGCCTCCGCGGCTGGGCCGCCAGCCCGGGGCGTGCGGAGCAGCGGCCGCCGCGATCGGGCTCCCGGGGCTCCGCGCGCCCGCCCAGCCCGGTGCTGCCGGCAGGGGGCGCAGAGGAGGCGGCGCGAGCCCAGGGGCGGGCCGGCCCTGAACAGGGGACAACCTCTGGGTTTTGCCGGGACGGCCGCGACCTGGCTTCTCAGACTGGCCGGCCCTGCAGCGTTTCCAAATCCCGGCCTGGCCCTTGCCTAGAAGAGCTGGGGAACCGTGGAGGTCCAGCAGCAGAACCCGCTTCGCACAGCGCTGGTGTTGACACCCTCAGAGAACCGCCTGTGCCTGTTGGGATCTTGGCTATTTTCGTTCTCTAAGGTTGAACATGGGAAAGAGAGCCAATGCATGAATGGCTGCTTTTAGCACAATAGGAAAGTCATTTGGAATCTGGACATATCCAAAGATTAATGAGATAAGGATTCATGCCATTACCACTGTTTTTGTTACTGTTGTTACCCTCCTAATATTGTCCTGGAAGTTCTCAAGGAAACAACAAAAACCAATGAGGACTCTGAACTATTTTAAAATGAAGAGTTAGATTACATTTATTTGCAGATAAATTATTACCTGGAAAACTCCAGAGAAACCGACTATCGGAACTAATACATTGACAGTGTAGCCAATTATAAGGAAAACATTTAAAAATGATGAGTTTTCTTCTATGCCCATATCATAAAAAAACCACGCATCCAATTATTGATGAATAATGTGTATGTCTAAGAAGAGATAAAAGAACTATAAGGAAATGTAGATGCACATGTAATTTAGTTTAAAATTTCTAAGCATTAAAGTAAAAGGGGTAACTGAACAGGAAAACATTGAGTACATAATCATTTACTACTTGTTTGTTACAGAATACACAAGACGAAATACAAATAGCAAAGTTTTGAAGCATGAATGAAAAATGGAAGTTAATATTTTAAAAAAAATCTTAAAGGCAAATGACAGACACCAAAGGAAGAGGTGTATAACCTGAGTACAATTCTAGAATAAAGAGAAATATGTAAATACAATGAGCATGTTTAACTTTTTTATATTTAAATACCAATTAAAAAGTACCACGTCACAATTTATTAGGAATTACTTTTTGAAATACTAAATGTCTACATTTGCAAGGAAACAGTAAAAGATGCACCTATATATTACTGATGAAAGTGTTATGGACAAATTTTCTAGGGTACAAGTTGATTACCAAAAGCCTTAAAACCATGGCCTTTAAGCCAGACAATTATCTTGGGAAAATAATGGACAGGTACACATCAAAGTTGATGTATAAATTCACTTCATATATAGAAACCTTGAAATATTTACTCATAGGAGATTAAGTAATGGCTATTCATCTATATAAAGCTACTAAAGAATGTGGTTATATAAAGATGTGTGGGAAATGACTTACTATATAATGCTGAAAAACACAGGCTACCAAAATGCGGTGTAATTCCACACTTTCATAAATACACAAATGTGTATGCAGTATTAGAGAAATGTGGAAGGAAGCAAGTGTACTTATGTTTTTCCTATCTCAAATTTTTTATGACAATCATGTGTTTTTAAATCACTTATTTTAACTACAAACTAAAAGTGATAGGCTGGAAAGAATAAGCGAATATTCCATGGTTGGCTACTGGCACTAACACATCTTTCTGAAGAGATAGGAGTAGATGACCTAGAGAAAATTAAGATTGCAAAAGAACTGGGACAACTTTCTGTTCTAATATTCACTCTTCCTACTGACCTTGACCTGGATTTCTCTCCTATAGGTCTTTTCAAGGTTTGCTCCTTGAATGACTTTCAAATCCAGCATAATAGTCACCTAAAAGAGGCCATCTCTAACCACTTGACCTATAATAGGCACCCAGTGACTATTCCACAAACCTATTTTATTTTTCATTTTGTTAAATCACTGTTAGAAGCTATCTTGCTTTTTTAACCTATTGTTTATTTACTGTCTTTCCCCTATTAGAATTTAAACACCAGTAAGGTAGAAACTTTGTCATACAGTATCCCTGGCAACTAGAATCAAAATTAGAATTCTCAGAGACTGTGAGTGTTCAGTAACTGCCTGGAAGACATACAAGACTTTAAGGATAATACTTTTAAAGCAAGATAGGCTGGACTCAGTTGGATAATTTCAACATTAAATATCCTTTCCCAGAAAGTGCTTTTTAATGGTATAACAGGACTGTAATAATATACAATATGTCCATGAGCAAACAATGTTTTTTGCATGAATAATTATGAACATAAAATTTCTGTTTTTATTTAGATTTTGATTATTTAGATTGCATTGAATATATTTAAAAGCTCAGTGAACCATTTGTTTTATTAATAAATGTTAATATTTATAATACACCAGGAATTATATCCATTGTAAGTAAAATTATCCTGAAAAATTTTAGATGTCAACTTAGATGTACGAGAAGATACTTAATTTAAAAAAAACTCTTTGGTGAGTTCTGTAAACAAAAATGTTGAGATGACACTGGATAAAGAATTTCTGATGTCCTGTCCAGTCATATGGTTAACAAGCCCACAGGGAGGGTTCATGTTGCTGGCCACACAGAAAGCCAGTTACTGAGACAACAAGGATTGTCAAGGAGGAAAGGATTTACTACAGGAGATGCAGGCAGGGGAGGGCACAGACTGCCTCAAATTCACCTCCTAGACCAACAGGTTTGGGGGGGCAGGGGTGCGGGTTATGGAGGTGAAAATGAGTAATGCCTGAGGGGAGTGAACATCATTACATGTTTGAGGTGGAGAGTAGAGCACTCAAGCACAGTGAAAATCGTGTTAGTACTTATATCCCATGAACAAAAAATGGTGACTAAGTCCCTCCCAGGGTGGGGATTTTAGTATTGTAATGAGCTAGGGGTTAATGTTGGTCATTATTTTAGTCTTGTGTGCAGGCTCGAGGGGTCCTTGGGTATAATCCATGGTAGCATATCACTTATGTTTTCTAGACAAACAGGTGGTGTAAGGCTGTGCAGTTAATCTCATGGCTGCAAGGAGGCTCCAGGTTCCTGGGAAAGAAACTCTGAAGGGAATGTATTGGTGCAGCAGAAAGTTGCAAAGTTCTGGTCTGCAATCTTACTGGCCTAGGAACTTAAAACCACAAAAAATTATTAGAAACTTGTTTTCTTGCTTATGGAGCTGTTTGAGAGATGAATACATGGCTGAAAGAGAGGAGTAAGACGTAATCACCATCTCATTGTAACATCTCTGTGGGCCTGATCATTACGATGAATTGTATTCCTCAGAGAAAAGTTCTTTCTCCACATTTACTGTAAAGAAGTACTCTTCCTGTTTTTATTTATTTATTTGGATTGAAGGATCCCCATTTTATTTAATAGGTTGTAATCAATATTATGAGAGGTTACTTGTCATTACATAAATTACATAAATCATAGCAATACTCTTTTAAAATTTACTTATTGCCACCAATGAAACCAAAAGGTATTATACCATATATAATACATGTATATATCTATACCAAAGGAGAGAAGTCCAGCTTCTGTAAATTAAAGCTTTAAGTTAGAAAGTGTTTTTTTAAAAAACAAATTCAGGGTGGCGCCTGTGGCTCAAAGGAGTAGGGCGCCAGCCCCATATGCTGGAGGTAGTGGGTTCAAACCCAGCCCCAGCCAAAGACTGCAAAAATAAATAAATAAATAAAAATAAATAAATAAATCAGTTTAAAATTTCCAGATCCATGTAATTTGTGCCTACCTATTAAAATATCTCACTGGCTACCCACCTAATGGAACATGTAAGAAAGACATAAAAATTATATGCATATCAATTATGTTCCAAAGTTGCAAGTAGTTCATTCTCTTTTGTGTTAATATATTTTAATTTCAATTGTGTGATGGGTATTGCTGTTTACTATGTGATGATAAAGCATCATATCACATGTATCAAATATGAGTTTTATAACAGCTGCTCAGAGAGGTTAAGTAATCTGTCATGGAGCTGGGGGGGTTATAATTTCTGCATAACATCCTTCTAGGTATAGTGTCTGTCTTATTGTCTGAGGTTCTTGAGATCTGCAAGTCATATTTTTTGGTGGGGAGAATCTGGGGCTGGCCTCTGTAGGTCCCTCTCTGGTTTCTTGTTTGTTTTTTTGTTTGTTTGTTTGTTTGTTTTATTAAGTCATAAACACATAGATCATGTACACATTAATGCATTTATGGGGTACAAGGTGTTGATTTTAAATACAATTTAGAATTCTTACATCAAACTAGTTAATATAGCCTTCACCTCATTTGCTTAATTATTGTGTTAAGACATTTATACTCTATGCTTAATAGATTTGACATATACTCTTACAGTATGCACCATAGGTGTGGTCCCACCGGTTATGGTTTCTTGTTTTGTTTTGTTTTTTCTTTTTTTAATTTTTATTTATGGTTTCTCGTTTTTCTAGAAAGAATTTAAGTGTTCTGGCTTCCCAGAATGAGGAAGACTCGAAAGTTACATTTTTGTAAACAAAATAAAATCTAGACCTCAAGAGGCTGAATGAAAGTTATCCAAGCTTCCTAATCGCCCTTCTCATGCCCCTCCACCCCCCTGAGAAAACCAAGTAAACATACTTTAGATAAAGAGTACTATCATATTTTTGGTTTAGACATTAATTAACTTGCAATGTGTGATAAAATTCTCAAAATTGGGCTGAATAATACTATAGTGGAGACTTCAAAAGGGGGATTTATACTACAAAGTATGATAATTGGGAAAGTATGGACATTGAAATTAAATGGTCCCAAATGTGAATACTGACTACCAATTGTACATCTGCATCTTTAGCCATATGACTAAAGCTTCAAAGCTTCAGTTTTTCATCTGCAAATAGTAGTATTCCCTACTTCACAGAATTATTTTGCTGAAATTTTATAAATGGTTTTATTTGCCGCAATTTTATAAATGATATTATTTGCTGCAATTTTAATAATATAAATGTTTTTCTTTTATGTATAGGTCTCAAATGTGGTGCCTTTTC